TAATACTATTGTTGCAGTTCTCTCTCATAGTGCAAGATGTTTGTGATAATTGTGTGTACTGATGCGATTCGTTCACAAAGGGTTTTTACTAATTAGAGTAACAAAACAAACAAACCAACAAATTGTACTCTCCTGAATCTTTTGTGTTTATAGACTTGTATTGTCCAAGACAATGACCTTAAGGGTCAACTATTTCCATTTTATGCCTACATTTTCTTCTAGAATCCTGGTGAAATGGACGAGTTTTGTTTTTCGTATACTGTAAACTGATATAATTTCGCAAGGGACGAATTTTCGCAAATTTTGTGAGTCGGTGAAAATCGTTGAATTTTGTAACACTGAAAATACTTTTTTGGGTCCTACAACGATGAGTAACTGTAATTTTGTATTCGCAGATGCCTTACCTTTTCACCAATTCCCTCTTTTCATCACAAACTAACAAAATAGTTTATAGATTGCACTTTCCTTCAGACGATTGAATTGAAAATTTACTAAAATTTTGTCTGTTGGCTCCAAAATAAGGATTCATTTCCAGAAAAAAGTGCAGAAAAATCTGGGTGAGAAAAGGTTAAAATTTTGCAATCACAAACATTTCTAGCATAAATTACTGTAAAATACTTAATTTTTGCTGAAGGGATGATTCCAGAGAATATACCCTCTTTCCTATATTTTACATTCAACTCATCAAAAATCAGTGAAAATAAATTCCACACAAAACACTCAAAAAGTCTTTTCAGCGAAAATTAATTCCAGCTAAAATAAAGTATTTCACAGTTTACGATACCTTTCTCCCTCAGTCTGCTGCTAACAGCTATGCTATGACTGATACCGGCAATTATGTATTTACTGTCAGTTGAACAATGGGGTCATATAAATCTTTGGAATCAAACAATGGCATTGTGGGATACCACTGTCTGCTGATTCATTTGTTCTTGGTTGATGTAATGATTGCGTTTGTCACCAAACGTATGGTCAGACCAGATTAAAGAAAACAGTCTAGGCTTACATCATAATCTCAGACGAAAGAGCTCTACAAATGTATGAAAATGCAATTAACAGTTTTTGTTATATTGTTTTTCATTCTCTAGATATTTTCATCAGTATTACATAAAAAGTTGAATATTCAGAGAAGTGATATAAACAAAAACTGTGAATTGATTCTACTTCATTTGTAGAGCTCTTTCATCTATGAGCATTATGTTGTTTGTGGGATTTCTCCTATAGGTATTCTCATGGTCCATCCTGTGTATGACTTTGACAGTCACCTCAGGGTTTATGTCATGCACACTGTGGTCGAACTCTCCAATGGATATATTTGATACACCTCTGTTTTTTTCATCATGGACACTGTGGCCCGTTTGTCCAATAGATGCCTTTGATACACACTACTGTTTTTACGCTGTGGTCCGTCTGTCCACTGTATAACTTTAATGAGGAATGTTGACGTGTATGGTCTTGGTGATACCAAGATATTTGACTCAAACGTAAAGAACACTGTGTGGGTGCTAGCGTCCAAGTTGCTTTGAAATCTAGTTCTGTACATAAAGTAGATAAAAGATGTGCAATAAATATAGTAGAGATCTTTAAAAATGACTGATTCTTACTTTATGAACTTAGAATGTGCGACACCCACTCCAGCCGTGAATGAGATCAGTTCATTAATATGCATATTATCTAAGTACACAGATCATTGTATTCAATTTAATATAGCAAGCCACACAATGGTAGCCATTTTAACTTCTAAACTCTGAGCCCACCACATACAAAAGACAGCGACCTCACTTTTTAATTAATTCGCTATAAACACATATAATTACACGTCTTGCATTGAATAGAAAAAGAAACGCTTTTCCTTACAAAGAAACGTGCTATGTTTCCACGAGTCCTTAGAGTATTACTGCAACAAAGTACTATCATGGTAATAATGGGACCATTATCATGCTAATGATATGCAAATTACCCTCAAGTAATCTATTTACCACAGGTACCCATAGGAGAACAATGTGCTCTTTCAGTCTCTAAATCGTGCCGATACATGTAACCAGATGTGTTTGTAGGACTTAACACTGCCTACAGGAAGCCGGCTTCTCGCTACCGATTTGTTTGATCGGCTTTTGTGTCGGTCAATAGCTATTAATGGTGGAAATAATATGAAGTATCTCACCTGCCCCAGTTCAGTCGTGGTATAATTACCGAAGCCAACCGCGAGCTCACGTACGGGAACGGATTGCATTAGTGTCATGTAAATATATAATCTGATATGAGGCAATCATGCAAATGTTAAAATAAGATAGAGAAGCGTTCCCATGTAAAGGATGCAATTATGTTTTTTATTTTGAGATATTTTGTCCAAAAGATGCATGTATACTTTCCAGTACTGTGTATGCAAGGTAATCCTGGGTACTTATTCCGTCCCAACTGTGTCTTTATAACTTTGTATCCGCAAGGGATTAAATCCTCATCACTCATTTCCACTTCAGCTTCAACCAACAATTAACCTGGTATTTTATATCCTCAATTCTTATCATATAATGATTATTTCTCGATAAATATCAACAGGCTTTTTTTTTTTTAATAGATTTTTAACCATTCAGTGGTAAATGTTCCTAACGAGAATTAGTAACTTCTCTTTTAGAATAATTTGAAAATAAAATTATCTATTTTGGTAATCTTTCGAAAACTATTTATCCGCAATTTTTTAGTTAAAATAACTAGATCAGTTCATGTTTCTGTTTTAGTTGTAAGGTAAATAATGAGTATTCCCGCCACGTACTTTTCACTTATTGTAGGAGTGTCGGCTTTCACATTCATAGTAAGTCATTGATAGAACACTTGTAGTATGTGTGCATGTGTGTGTTCTTGCACGTAGTGACCACCGCTGTGTTCATCAAACCCTCTAAATGAATTCCAATTATCCAATTAATTAAATATTGGGATTTAAAACACTTAATTAGACTCGGCTTAATTCTTCTCTGAAATAAGCGGTAGATTTTAAATGATTACTTTGTCATCAGAGATTGCTTTTACTGTAATCTGCTTTTAGATCTTTGAATATTGGAAAGTGTACGTTAATTAGAAAAAGTAAATGTGATCTCTGGGGTCAAACTGAGGTATTTCCCTCAATGATCCATCTATTTGCCTTTCATTAGTGCCCTCTGCAAAAATATTCTTTAAAAATCAAGCGTTTCTGTCATTTTTGAACCAGAACTCAGTTGTGTATGAGCAGATTTGGCTTCTAACTTGGTACATACTTTGGACATGATGGTATCTTAATGCATATCATTTTGTTTTTTTCAGATCAGATTCAAAATGGCCGACTGGTGGCCATTTTGTTTTAACATTTCATGTTTTTTGTTACAAATTATCCTCAGAACCTCTATTTCATTTTAAGGAATCTGTAATTTGAAAGTACCATCCAAAATTCCATCAAATCTATTACCTAATTTAGTTGTGTAATTATCTATGATTGGTTATTTTTGCTCATAAATGGATCTTGATTTTTATTTTTTTACTTATTTCAGTCTTTGCCTCCAATATATCCTCAGCACACAGGAGTTTATTTCTATGCTACCTTTGATCTCAGTCTCCTTATTAACAATGGTTCCACTGAGGGACCATCATTCAGGTCAAGTTGGAGACTAGTCTAAGAAAAGATACAATGTGAATTGTCAATTACTTTATAACACATTGTCATTCAGGCAAATAGTTGTGCATAATGTAGATAAACTTAAAGATGTTAAGTAAAGTACAATGATCCAGATAAATTAAGGGGTTGATCTTTATCAACGTTTGGGGGGGGGGGCATTGTAAAAGAACTATGCAAATTATTTGTTTCGCTTCGAGGTAAATTTTGTTTCAGGATGTTGGTGCAATAAAAATTGTTTAATTTTATAAACGTAATTTGTTTTTGGTTATTTTTTTCCTCCAAATATGCCACCCCTCCTAGGTAATAATGGTCAATCCCTAATTGTTTGTGCTGTACCAGAGTTCATCCTGCTCTTATTATTGGCTGATGGATAGAATTGACAGAAAACATATTTGTATTTATCCTAATGTTGAGATTGTACCAATAGTGTTGAATTATTGACTTGTGCGTAGACACACGCAAACTTAGAACAGTAAGAAAATGTCAAATCTGTGAATAGTTATTGTGTGATGCACCTAAACTATTGACCCTTCGCTATGGCTCCGCAGTCAGAATTTTACCAATGAGAGAGCTGATGCGTTTTGTAATTGTTGAATGACCACCTCTCCATACAGAACGCTGTCTGCCTCCATTTGGCAAAAATGTGCATTTAGTTATCAATGTATCAAACATTGGAGGACATAAGGTGGTAACAAACAGACAAACAGGCTCACTGAATTACCATCTGTCTATTTAAGATATAATCTCTGTTTTATTAAAAAAAACAAAATTCCTGAGAAATCAAAAATTGGTGATAACATCAGTGTATGTTGCAGATTACCAAAACCAGGTTGTTTCAGGTGGAATTATAGTGAACTGGTTGTTTAAATTGTGACCAATTTATGGAAGAGTCAAAGTGGTTATTCCTTATGATTATAATAAAGTTGCTGATATTGTTACGTTTGGGCTGAATATTAATTATAATAATTATTATAGTGTACACAATAACATCTATGGTTGATATTTATTTAAGCACCAACGAGTAGAAAATCTGGTAATTTAGGATTGTAACAGGATTAAGAGCAGGTGTCAATATTTCTCGAACATATTCAATTTCGATCATCACCAGACCAGTTGATTTCCCCCTCCCAAAGATATCCATGGTCCCTTCCTATTGACCAGGTGATCAACACCCCTCCTCTTCTTGAATACCTGCTCGTGTCAGCTCCCCATGTCATCTCAAGATGTACTGAGTCCATCATGGTATTGTTGATTTTCCTGTCAGGTCAAACCACGTCGGCGGTACTTTTCCCATTTAAGTGCATAAAGTCAGTATAAAAACTAATTTTGTTTTTTCTTTCTTTATTTTTCGCAGATGCACCCTCTGGGTTTATGTAATAACAGCGATGATGATAAACTGTTCGACTACGGTTGGGTGGGTGTAGTCAAACTTGACTCGCCTTTATTAGAACCACGCCCTTGCTTAACTGTCTTCGGAAAAGTAAGTTTGAATTTAATAATTATTCATCACAAAGTTTTGTTGGCAGTATCTATAATTCTTTGCATTTATTTATCTAATTTTGGACTGAATAGAAAATCTGTGTCATAAGGACATGTGCATGCATCCCCTCCAAAGGTCACCCATTCTAGCACTTTGAGGTGGGGGTGGGAACCAGTTAAGAAAGAAAGAAAAGTTTTTGATTATAATTCCAAATGCTGTTCCAATTGTAGTTTCAAAACAGTTAATATATTGGATAATATTGCTGTTATAAGACTTCAGTACCCCCAGAAAATACCAGGATGTGTAAACCTTTAGGGTTCATGCACAAGTACCAGGATGTATAACCTTTAGGGGTCATGCATAAGTACCAGGATGTGTAACCTTTAGGGGTCATGCATAAGTACCAGGATGTATATCCTTTAGGGGTCATGCATAAGTACCAGGATGTATAACCTTTAGGGTTCATGCATAAGTACCAGGATGTGTAACCTTTAGGGTTCATGCATCAATACCAGGATGTATAACCTTTAGGGGTCATGCATAAGTACCAGGATGTATAACCTTTAACCTTTAGGGTTCATGCATAAGTACTAGGATGTGTGACCTTTAGGCTAATTACATGTTTATCACAAACAGTTATAGAAGTGATCACAAGCATAAAAAATTAAAATTAACTGAAATGAACTTATGCAAATCAGTGAAGATGGCAGAATTTTGTATCAGTGGAAATTTTCTTGGGGATTCAACGACACTGAGTCTCGGTTGCTTTCTCATTTTGACGATTCAAGAGCATTCACGGAGACAAATCTTCGTAATATCCATGTTTAAAAGACCTCTGTGAAATGTTCACTGTTAAAATTGGTTACAGAATTCTGGATAAAAGGTCCTGGTTTCATACCATACCTCTCATGGTTTCCAACCAACAACAATTGCAGGAGAGTATGCTGACAAACATTTCAGTAAATTTGCTTAGTTTGTTTGGGGTCAATGACCAAACATGGCCGCATTGCTTTTACTCGCATGTATGTGTCACCCAGCTCTTCAGCTTAAAAACTGCTCTGTAAGTTTTGGAGCAAACTTAACTAAAATAATATTCAAATCTATTTTACTATTTTTACTTATTTTACCGGATGAATTATTTAAGGTTATTAAGGTTGTACTTACATTGCTCTGTAAAGCACAAGGTTTGGGTAAATGTCCTAATATTTACTGAATCAATCCCTATCACCTCCCTGTTTAGTGGAGTGGACTATTCCGAGAGTCACCATCTTTTTTCTGAAGTATTTAATCATTACTTCTGTTTTCAATCTTGTCTGATAAATTTTTTCTTGACTTCCAAAATAACAAAAAAGTTATTTTTCCACTGATTCTCTGTGCTGGCTAAAATTCATTTTATCACCCGTGTCCAAGTTCATATCTGGCTTCTGGTACAGTTGAGCTTGCCTGATGTGCCTCCTAGTCAGAACTGCTAGTCAGTTCATTCTGCTTTTGAATACTGAAATGGTTATCACTATCAACCAAGTAAAGAAAAGTTACCAACTATTGTGTTCAATCTGGTTATGAATATATAATTAGTCATAAAACGGCAATGCTTATCCAGTAGAGAAGTTACCAACTCTGTGTTTCAACCTATTTGTAGTGTGGAATGCGTGAAGGTCGGCCTCCAATTTCAAACAGTTACCCTTACAATCCTAACCACAAAGCTAAACTTACATACTCATGTTTGAAATGAGTCTAGTATAGAATGCCTCACATCCGTCCGGTCGGCAATATCCAACTTAATTACAAATATAATGACTTTGATTTATAAATTGATAATGTATAGAATCTGTTTAAGCATTAAGAAAGATTTGACCTTAGTGGCTTTTATCATGGCATCTTTGGTAAAATGCATTGGTATTTTAATGTAGCTATTTTGTATGTTTAGCCATGTAGAAGTAACAAAAGGCATTTGTATGAAGCGATTCTACAGCCTATCAATAGCCTGTACCAACATTACTTCATGACAAGGGCAATAACCAACTTAGTTAGTGTACTGGCCCATGATGCCGATGTGAGTCGGCAGTCTAAGCAGTGTTCAATGCCTGTGGTCAACTTTGTTAATTCTTCTCTACAACTGTTGCGTGTGTCGATGTGTTGTTACAACAGCTGCTTTAGATTACTGTAAGCTGCTGCAATTTTGCCAGCAAATTTTTCAGGAGATAGTGAAAACTACGGTTTACAGTATTCAGATGGGTTAGTTGAAATTAAATACAAAAATTTGGTTTGTTGTTACATTGTATTTTATTCATACAATTCCTTGTAGTGATGGGGCTCTGCCTGATAAGTCATGTGATATGTCAGTTACAACGGATTTTTTCTCTTCTCGGTGGAAACAAACATTTTCTCGTACATAAATCTGATATTTATTGTTACTGAATACGTTTTTCTTAATGGTTATTTCTGTGGTCCATACTTTTTGAAATTCTTCATCACAATAAAATGTTGTTACATGCATTAGATTGTACATGAAGCATTGACTTTAGGTATTGGATAGATTGGTCCCAACATTTGTCACCAGTTACCTAGAAGACTGGTCTTAA